TTTAATCTTTACCTGTGCTGTAGATAATTATATGCCACATAGAGCAGGAGGAATTACTAACCAAAGGAAGAACTTTTAGTTCATTGGGGTGCAATTGCATTCTCCCTACCAGCCTGGTCCCAGAGTTGCATCAGTCCCAAATGAACACGCAGGATGCTATATTAATTATGAAGCTGTTGGCTGTTTGTTATGTTTTCTTAACGGCTAGTTCTGACTTAATTATTAACCCATGATTACTAATATATATTTTTACAAGGTTTTATATTATCGAGAACTCCAGACTTGTGTTCTCTCCTCCTAGGATCACATGGCAACTCTCTACTCTTGACTACAATTCTTAGAGTCTTCCTCGACTCTTAGTCCCACCTATCTTGCTTCCCTACTGGCCAACCATGCTTTATTTGTCAACCAGTCAGACAAACATATATACAGAAGGACTTCCCCCATCATTGGGGTAACATTTTGACTTGTAACCACAGACTGACTATCTCCTTGCTACCTGGAGCACCTGGTGTGGATCAGCAGTGTGTTTTAGCATTGTGAAGAGTTTAGACAAATCATAGGAATCATATTCTGGAATCTAGAAGACTCCTTGTCAGTGTCACAAGGCCAGTGTTGATTGGCAAGAACAAAAATGTAAAACCAGGTTCCTTATTTCTGCCCCAGTCTTCCTGGCCAAGTAACAACATCCCAGCCAGCAGGCACTAGGGCACCTTCTATCAGATATTGAAAGGCACGAACAAGGTTGTCTCCGTGCATCCCTAACTTATGGTCTGGTTTTACTCCAGGTGAGGAGTATGCTCACAGGCTTCAGTGCTCTCTGAAATAAGCTGGGGGTAGGCAGTAAACAAAAGCTCAACACTACTCACTAGATAGTGTTCCACATCTGAATCTGCTATTCGCTCCATCTTCATACTGTGGGTAAGAAAATCAATGGGTGCATGTTAGGCACTTCTGTAACATTTCAACTATCCTATGTCAAGGATTTAGGGAGTTATTTGGAAGACTACCCATGTGACAGGGTCACATCTCCCGAATTCCTTCAAAAAGAGAAGCTACTTTCTGCATTATTATAAGGGGAATTCCAGGCTTTCTGAATGTGTCTAGAGGTTAAGGGGAAGGTGGGTAAGACAGGAAGGGAGTGAGGTGATTTACTGAAATGGATATGCCAAATAAAAGATCTAAGAAGACACCTCCCAACTAATATTTGATTCTGTTATATACAGAATAAATGTCCACAATAATTTATATTACTTCCATGAAATACAACTGCATTTTCTACATAGTAATGGAGTGCATGTCTGTTCAATTTCCACATACTCAAATAAAATAGGAAGATATATATGTATATATGTATATATATATGATATAGCTAATTATAAAGTTTTGGGGGGCTGGGGAATCATCAAATGTAGCCATCAGCAAGTCTGAAACAATATAGTGGAAGCCTGGAGTTTATCAACTTATGCATAATTGTAAATTATTGTAAACTTTATTTAATCAGTATTAAATTCTGTTTTCCATCACAGTTTTAGGGGTTAATGAAAAACCCTTATGCATTCTTGGCAGGATTCCCCGAGCCTAATGTTTAATTGGGAGTCTTTGCATCTCTTGCCATCAGTTACTAGATGAACCCTCTCAGGTGACAATTGTGGTTGGCCCCAATCTATGAGTATAGTAGAATATCATTAGGCATCATTACACTGACATTTTTCCAGCATCATGTATAGCTCCAACACTTGAAACAAACCAGAAAAGAGAAAGCTCTTTTCTCTCTCTCTCTCTCTCTCTCTCTCTCTCTCTCTCTCTCTCTCTCTCTCTCTCTCTCTCTCTTTCCAGTACTACATCAATAGCATCATTGAGATCCTAGCACAGTAAAAATAGGCTGTGTCTATTGTCTCCAAAGTTAGCTGTGTTTAGACTTCAAACGCTGAACTTCTTACGGCTGGGGGTCATTAGAGTCAACGACACTGTTCTGACATTGCGCCAAGGAGAGCTACAAATGAGCTCTTCTGCAAGAGATACAATTTTCCCCAGAAATAACATCAGACAAGTATGTACATTTTGTGAAATTTTAATTGAGAACATTTGTTTTCTTTTTACAAGGTTGAGGAATTTAGTCTCCATTTTCTTTTTTCTTTGCTCATAGGAGATGATTGCACCCAAGGCCATGTACATGCTAAATTCTTGCTCTACCACTGGGCTTCCATCTCAACCTTTTCAAAGTTGCAATTTCCAGGCCAGTGAGTAGATAAAGGCACTCTCTTCCAAGCCTGACTACCTGAGTTCAGTCCCTGGGTCCCACACACATTGTGGAAGGAGAGAACCAACTCCCATAAGTTGTTCTGTGACTGCCACACACATCATGGCACACACACACAAATGTAATCTTAAAAAATTCAAGGTTGTGGTTTCCAAGGAAAGAAATTATCTGCTATGGCTCCTCGTTTGTCAACTTCAAGACCAAAGCAATTTAAATAATTCTAATTCTGTTGTTATACGCAGCTTCTTTGCTAGGGGAGCCTTACGAAGAAATAGGTTATCAGGACTTTTTTGAACAAAGTCACACTGCTAAATAGTGAGATATGGGAATACATCAGACAACTCTACTTCTGTGACTTTTACTTAGTGGTGTGAAAATTTTTAAATTAGACTATGCTAGTATTGATGGAATGTGCACAAGAGGAAAAATAGTTTAAAGGCTTTGTTCCATTTTGAGAGCTGGATAAATTATTAGACTTAAAAATCAAGCATTGTGACCTGGGAGTAAAGCAACTCTCCTACACTCTTGGATAGAGTGGAAATTAGGATAAGTGTTTTAAAAAGCAATTTGATAATGCCTAACAAATTTACAATGCATTTATCCATTAACCTGGTAATTTTACATGCATAGGAAAATTTGGATAAGCTTATACACGTACACCAAAATATTTGTATGAGAATGTTCATCACAATGTTGTTTAAGTAGCAAAGGAAAAATATTTCAGCAGTAAGTGCACAGTAGAGGAGAATGTCCTAATTAATCACACACACATATGTATATATATATATGTATATGTATATATATATAAATGGAATACTGTAAGTCACTGAGAAATGTGTATGGGTAATACCCCATAAAATTGAGAAATAAACCAGGCATGGGCCATTAGTATGTCTCTATTGTATAATTTAAAAAACAAATACCTATGTATATGTGTTAATACAGGTATAGTGGTATTTATCTCAGTTGTATCCATTTATGTTTTAGAACAAATATAATACTTCTGACCCCTGTGCTTCTGTGGATTTTAAAAGTTGGTGTCACCTTTGATAGACGAAGGCTTTTGTTTTGTAGCTTTCTGTAACTTCCAGGAATTCTTACTAAGTTTATTCAACATTTTCTCTTTTAAACATTTCAGTGTAACTGTTCTGAAGTAAAGCATTGTTGCTGTTCTTGATTTATGTAACTTAAACCTTTCTGAAATAGTGTAATACTCCTGTGAACTTTCCAAGGTTTTGAGGCATAACCAACTTAAACCTATGAAGCAGTCTATTGTCAGGAAATCAACTTGTTTTCTGGGTGCTATTCACATCACAAACAGCTCCTACAGATACCTTCCTACCAGTGCTAGAACACCCCTTAGCTATGTGGATAGAGGTCAGCTTGAGGTTGAACCTTTAGAAATATACAATCTACCTTCCCTTCTGAGCAAGCACATTGAGAATCAATTATTACAGTCATTTTCCTTGTCTGTGGTTTTAAAAAAACAAACAAAGAATAAAACAAACAAAAAAGAAAAGGAAAGACTCCAAAACAAAATCCTCTCTGGTCATACATTTTTTTATTTATTTTACATCTAGAGATCAGTTTCCCCTCATTTCTCTCTTCCCATTCCCTCTCCCAATCCATCCCTCCTCCATTTCTGTTCAGAAAATGGCGGGCCTCAAGTGGATATTAACAAAACATGGTGTATCAAGTTGTGGTAGGAGTAACCACCTCCCCTTGTATTAGGGCTGGGTAAGGCAACCCAGTATGAGGAATAGATTCCCCCAAAGTGAGCCAAAGCATTAGGGATAGCCCCTATTCCCACTGTTAGAAGTCCTGCAAGAAGACCAAGCTATGCAACTATCATATATATGTAGAGAGACAAGGTTGGTCCCATGCAGGTTCCCTGGTTGCTGGTTCAGTCTCTGTGATCTCTTATGAGCCAGGTTAGTTGATTCTGAGGGTTTTCTTGTGATGTCCTTCCTTGACCCCTACGGTTCCTACAATCCTTCTTCCACCTCTGCAGCAGGATTCCCTGTGCACAATGTTTGAATGTGGGTCCCTGCATCTGTTGCCATCAGTTACTGGATGAACCCTCTCTGATGACAATTGGGGTAGGCTCCAACCTGTGATTATAGCAGAATAACATTAGGCATCATTACACTGACATTTTTCTCCAGTTGTGTTTGACTTCTCCTAGGTCTACGTGCCATTCTGGGTCCTGGCACTCCGGGCAGTGTCAGAGGTGGGCTCACTCTCATGGCATGGGTCTCTGGCTGCACCAGTCATTGCTTGGCCACTCCCACAATCTGCACCACCCTTACCTCAGTGCATCCCGTAGGCAGGACAGACTATAGGTCGAAGGTTATGTCGGTTCGTGTTCCAATCCCTCCAACTTGAAGTCTTGCCTGGTCGCAGGGTATGTCCAGTTCAGGCTACTAGCCACTTCTGCTAGGAGTCTTAGCTTCAGTCATCCTTGTAGATTCCTGGAAGATTCCCTTGAACCACAGTCCATGTGTGTCGTGTCCCTTTCCAGTTCTCTCTTTCAGTACTCTTCCCCCTCCATCCACCTCCCAAACCCATCCCTCAAGTTCCCATCCCACGATCATGAATTCTTACTTCGTAGGTCCAGTATGACTTCGGAACGGAGGGATGGACCCTCTCTGCTTTTGACACAGCATGATCTAATTTGGAAGCAATTCCCACAAGGAACCAAAAAGAATAATTGTGCTTTGCTTGTGACTCTTTTCAGAACTGCGACTTCCAGTGAGTCCCTCTGTGTGCCTGGATCAGGGGACGCAGTCACAGCTGAGTGCTTCCAGTCACCGCTCAGAAGGAGCCAAGCCACATGCGTGGAAATCATGGGATTGGCAAGGCAAACAGTTGTAAGATAAACACATTAAATGTTCTATGCAGCATATCCTGTAGGAAGCATGAAAAAAAAAGACTTGAAATCAGATCTGAGAACTTGGGTGTGGGGATGGGGCAGAGTGGGGAGGCTGCCACTCAGTGAATTGCTAGGTCCCACTCACAAGAACGTTCAGTTATTGTGTCTTAAAAAGGAATGTCATCATTGACTTTCTCCTAGATTAATTCAAACTTCTGCCGCTGCAGAATAAACATTTAGGTAAATTGGACTCTTAGCTAGTAAGTTATATTAATGTAAATTGGATTTAGAACCTTGAAAATGTAAAACTATAAAAATTTAACTTCTGTTTTATACCTACATGACATTGCTTTAGTTTTTGAGTATGGCTGAATGGATTTTTGTTAGCTATTAAATTTTTATGACTCCTACTATCTAAGAAAGGGTATCAAGTTGTCCAAGGTACTTTCGGGAAAGGATGTTTTTAATAAAATATTTGCATTAATTCTTTGAGAATTTTGTACAATGTATTTTGATCTTATTCTCTCTATTCTCTTCCTCCTAACTCCTCCCAGATCCACCAGTCACCTCCCCAACTTAAAGCCTTTTTTTTTTTTTAAATAACCACCAAGTCAAATTTGTACTAGAGTTCGATCAACCTATCAGGGGCCTCACTCTTAAAGGATCTGACTCCCCTATAAGCCATCAACTATCAACAGCTCCTCAGTTAGGGGTGGGGGCTTGTCAGACCTCCCTGCTTCATGTCCAACTGCTGAGTGGCTTATTCTTATGCAGATCTTGTGAAGGCAAACACAGATGCTGTGAGCTCAGGAATGAAGCAGTTTCCATCAGGTCCTCCCTGACCTTTACTCACAGTCCTTCTGGCCCTCTTCCACAGAGTGGGGGCTATATAGATGTTCGGTTTGTAGGTGAGCGCTCCAATGACACTTCTGCACTTTGATAAGCTGTGAGTGTCTGTGTAACCACTGTCTATTGTACAAAGAAACTTCTCTGATGAGGTCTGAGAGCTACACGAACGGACCGGTATAGGAATAGTATTTCAGAGAGCAGTTTGATAATATGCCCATTTAACAAAATATTAGTAGTTTAGCCCTGGAGCCTGTGGGTGCTTCAGGCAGAGTCTTGGCCAGATTTACAGTACTCAACATCCATTTCTTCCTGTGGCACATGCCATAAGTTTAAGCAAAAAGTACTTGCTTAGCCCATAATGTTTACACGACAATCACACCCAGGGGCATATTTTGCTACCCAGATCATTATTGTAGTTCACAGGGTTCATGACTGGGTAGTACTGTTGATGACTTCCCCCCGCCCCAGGGACCTACATGTAGTGCTATCCAGTACTACAAAAGCTGGACAGCATGGAGCAAGCAAGCTTCCAGGTCAATACCAGGATGACTTCTTCCTGTCCTGTGACCAAAGTGTGTGATGTTCAGCAATAGGGACTTACCATCAGGTTCTGGTGGGCCACCAAGAGCATTAGCAATGGCCTATGTCATTTGGGAGATCTCTGAGGCACTCCTGACCAAGCAATCTGGAGGACATATCCCACACTTTTGTCCTGGGCCTTTTATGTTGCTGTCTGTAGCTGCTGGGAGGAGTGTCATCCCCTGCTTGGAGTGATTCTCATGAAGCTCCTGTTTTCTTGTGTGGAAAAACTACACATACATGAAGTTTATAAAGTAGCAAGTTTCCATATGGCTATTCTGAACACCCTTAGGACTAGTTATCCCTCCCATGCCTCTCAGCATTGAAACCTCCCCCCACATATCTCTTCTTTCTCCTTCCTGTCACCTGTATTCCACTGTCCTCCATCCTTAAGGCCTTTCTTCAGCCTCCCCATCAATGGTCCTTTCCTCCTGGATCCTACAGATTCCAAGTAAAGGATTTTAGAATATCTATAAATCACAGGGGAAAACATTTTAGTTTCTTCATTTAAGACATAACTAAATGAGCTTGTCTCATCTAGTTATATAATTACTAGACAAGGTTTCAGCATTTAATAGTACTTGTTGAGAAATCATATGCAGTTTCTGCATAATATTTTAACTTCCACAGTTGTTCTAAGCACAAGCTACATATGTATTATCAATTAGGCTTAGGATACTAGACATATAGACATGGTACAGAAAAGCAAAAAAAATCATGTATTTTTGGTACAATTTATGATGGAAGTGTGTTTGTTTCATTGCTAAACAAGAAACTAGTGTTGTTTATTGCTTTCTTCACATTCGGCCTTCAAGTTGGTCTTTAATTATCAGGAGTGATGGCTTGTTTGTTAGGTAGATATGAAGTAGTTGGGGAAGTATTCTACCATGTTCTTGATGGCCTGTCTGCTGTTAAACAGTTCACTGTCTTTGCACAAGCAGAAGAGAAATCACAAAAAAGGGGAAAAAAAAACCAAACAAACAAATAAACCCAAACAAAAACAGAAGGTGGTGGGGAGCTTCTCACACAAATTCATGTACTCAATTCTGTTGTCACAGTCCCAGGAATCCGACGTCACGGGTAGTGTGACTAATTTAATTTTCAGAAATCTTTAAACATTATTGTAAGTACTGTTTTCCTTTGGGGGAAAATCGTTTAATTCGGTCTTCCAGTACAGAGAACTCTACCCATTTGAGAGCGTGTCTCTGTGCCCGGGCACCCCCTGGTGGTGGGCGAATAATACACAGCTACATTTGTTTCAGGAAATCCACACACAAAGGCTGGGCTAAAGGCGGGGATGAGAGGAATTACCAAGGTTTAGGTCATTCGCACATTGCATACTCAATTCTAAATGCAGCGCTACGTTGCTTTATTTTTTTATTATTATTTTGACTAGGAATCAGACTGCAGTCCTTGCTCCACGTGAAGCAATTCTCCGAGCAGAAGAGCTATCCGTAATTCTTAAAGCCTACGTGTTGGTGACCTCCTTAAGGCCTTTGCGTGCGTTCATTCATTCAACTGGCACGGTGTGGAGCCCGCCAAGGAAGAAACGCTTCACTGTCAAGGTAAAGATCCGACTGAAGCTGTTATTTCATACAGTGTGCTGAAGATAAGCAAACTGGTTTGGGCTGCCATTCACCGACCTTTATGGCTATCAAATCTCTCCGAACAAAGATTGCATTTTTTTTATTGCTGCAAGCAGAGATTTTCATTTAAGACGTGCGAGCTCAAAAATAAGCTGGAAATAGCTTAATTCACTAAGGTTCATGAAGGTCACATCCGATTTTTTTCTCTCCTCAACCCCCCATTTTAGTTCGGTTCTTAGACTTTTACCCAGGTAGTTCTTGTTTTCTGTTTTTCCGGACTTTCCGTTTATTAAGAAAAACTATATAGCCTGTGTAACAAGTGAAAATATAATTTTGTCTTTCCGTCTTCCACTACCTCTTTAGAGAGCTAGATGACTCTTTTTGTTTACATCAATCAGTCAATACTGACTTGTCTGCTGGGTGAGAAGAAAAGCCCTCAAGGGTGTGTAATATTGCAAGCACTGCTATCGAAAATAATGAGGGAGTTTGCAGAACGAGCTCACTAATACCTCCAAAAAGTTATGGTATAAGAGGTAGACCAGGCAATGCTGGAGAGCTCACCCAGGTGGAAAAGACAGGGGAGAGCTGCCAGGCTGACCAACCCTGCAACATCTGGGGCCAGAACCAGGGTTATGTGTTGGCCTACCCCGACATTCACCCCATCTGTGATCTCCTGGGGCACCGGGTGGAGTGGGGGGTGGGGGATGGTGATCCTGCGAACCAAGGGCTGTTGGATCTCCATGACACAGGGCAGCAACGGGGATGTCCAGGAAGAGTCCCAGTGAGGGCCCAGCATCGATGATGTAGCAGAGACCATGGGCCTCGAACAAAGCCATTGATTCTTTGTGATGAACACCTGCATGTAAAAATGTCTGGATAAAAGGGTTTACTGCGTGTCTCACTGTGTAGCCCTGCAGTTTCCATGACGAGGCTTTCTTCTTCTCCCCCCCCTCTTTTTTCTCTTAAATTTTATTTTGTGTTTTGTTGGTGGGGGAGGGAGATAGGTGGGATTGGGAGGCATGATGTTTAAAGACAAAGAATAAATAAGAAGAAAGTTTTTAGAGAGGTGGGGGCAGCCCAGGCTAACTTAATTCAAAATAAGTTTTCTGAGAACACACTAGATAGAATTTAAGGAGAGTTTGATTTTACGGAAAATCATTGTTTGGAGTGCTGGCAGGAAAAGAAACCAGATGAGTGCACAATGCCATGAGGTTCAAAGGTGACTGGATTATTTCTTGCTCTGAATTTGCATTATATCAATTACACTCTGAACCCTGGAAAGTGTTCCAGTGACAAGGACACTTTAATTGTCCATTTAAATATGGTAACGAAAAGCTCACCGACCTAGTAATAGATATGGGCATTCTGCAGCCCCTGAAGTAGCTCACATTCTAAGGAAGCAGAATTGAGGGGCCAAGTCCTTAACCTTAAGATAGCATCTGAACTCAAGTGTAAAATGCCTGTGGTTTTCTGTGAATTTTGAAAGGACAAAGTCCAAGCTAGTTTATTCCAGAATGCCTCCAACAAGTCTTCACAGCAGCTACTCTTCACAGTTATTCCCATTTCCCCCTTTGTATTGAATTAAATTAAATGCAACAATTGAATTTTAGTCATTTTGACCTAAAATAAAATTGGCAGCTTCATGTGGTTTAACCAAATCGTGGAAGTTGGGCATAGACAGATGAGAATCCTAGCATTTAATTATGGCACATGTTATAAACCATGTTACATGTTACTGTTCACAAATCCCACACACATTTCATCACAGACCAGGAAAGTCAGTAGTATTGTGGTTCTTTCTGAAGTCAAACTCCTGGGAGCCAAGAGCTCGCATTTCAGGGGGCAGAAGATGAGTGTCACAGCTCAAACACATACAGGCAACTTTGGAGGATTCACTCTTCTACTGTGTTGCTTAGAATATTTCCCTTTTATTTCTTTAAAACCACAGTTTCCCATTCATCGTTGTAAGACTCAAATATTCTGTAACTTTGAAAGTTATCATTCTTAACATATGTAAAGTACAGCAGTCCCCATCAGTTCAGAGCATGCAGTAGTGTTCATTTCCTTATCATGATATGTATATATATATATCCTGAGACAGAATTGCAGTCTAACTTGTGATCCTCCTGCATCGGCATCTAGAATGTTAGGGCTGCAGATATTCTCCACCATGCCAGGCTATTGTTTAATGATTCCTCAAGTTTTTTCCTCACTGACTTCTTTTCCTTCCTTTTAATGTTGGCTAAATGTTGATCTTTCTGATTCTACTCATTTTGGCCTTCGTGTGTGTGTGTGTGTGTGTGTGTGTGTGTGTGTGTGTGTGTGGTGTCTGTGTGCACACACATGCCCTCACATGCATGAGTGTGTGGTCATGCACACGCCAAGGCATATATCTGGAGCTCAGAGGACAACTTTCAGGAGCTGGTTCTCCCTTTCTAACTTTATATAGACTCAAAGGATAGAACTCTGCTTGTCAGTTCTGTGTACTGCTTTTAGCTGCTGAGCCATTTCACTGGTCCTGTAATTTGATGATGGTGGTGGTGGTGATGATGATGATGTAAGTGTGTGTGTTTATGTGTGGTATGGACCCACAGTCCATGATGTGCTTGTGAAGGTCAATCTTTCACAAGTCAGCTGTCTCCTTCCACAGTGGGTCTCAGGGATCACACATGGGCCACCAGGCTTGGTGGTCAGTGCTATTGCCTGCTGAGCTATTGGCAGCCCCCTGTTCTTACTGTGTATACTTTCTCATGTTTTCTGTCTCTTCATGTGCTGTCCTGGAAGCATTTATTTCCAGGACAGTTTAGTCCTCTCTTCAGAATTTACATGTGTAACACACACTGGAGCCGCTTGAGTTTTACCTTTGTTAACTTCTTACTGCATTTCTCCTTATTACTGTTGGTGATTTCTCTTCTGTATTTCATTATATTTCTATCTTTTATTATTTCCTAGAGGGCATATGCCATGGTTGTATTTGGTTATAGTTTTACTGCATGGCATGTATTGTTCGGCTTGCTATGTTTCTATCTAGGTAGTTGTGCTTTTCACACACGTGATGATCATGGACTAACCCTCTGAAACTATAAGCCAGGCCCCAATTAAATGCTTTTCTGTATTAAGTTGCTTTGGTCATGGTGTCTCTTCACAGGAATAGAACAGTGACTAAGGCAGTGAAAGTTGGGGTTTTGAGAGGAAATGAGGCAGAGGGTCACACATGACTGGAAATCCCACACATCTCAACTAGTCACTTGAGTGGGACATTGTCCTTAAATCTTGGGGCTGCACTCAACATCTTTCAGAAGGGAGAAATAACAGCATTCGGGAAAAACACAGAGAAGAGACAGGAGGAAAATCTGCATCCTTCCCTTGAAAATTTAAAGTTGAAATGATCCTCTCATGCAGCCTCCAGCAACTCCCTCATATGCATGCAGTCTTTCCCTGTCCATGGTCATGACAGGCTTGACCAATCCAAAACGGCTTTCAGAATGCCTTTCGTACTGGCTTTTCAATATTGTTCTGTTGCCAAATCCCTGCCTCTGCCTCATATTATCTATGCTAGTTTCCTGTCATGAAAGGAAATCCAAAATCTTAATTATTCTGGTAATTTTAAAGGCACCCCCCCTTTTCTGAATGTGAAGAACCATATATATGGGTTCCCTGAAGCTAAGTCCATAGAAGTCAGTTTCCTTTACATTTTTGAGCTTTATTTACTATTTTTCCTCTTCTATTTTTTTGTCATGTCCTTGGGATGGATGTGAGTCTTGACTGGCACGGGAAAGCATGCAGCTCCTGTCAGTTTCATTCTGTTCTTGGGATTTATCTTTTTAAGATCCTGCCTGATTACTCCTAAGATACATTTATTTGCTGTTAGGGTGAGATAGAATGGCTAACATACATTTTTAGTAGGTCACCATTTGCTTGATGATGAAGAGTTCGGGAAACAAGGTGGCATTTGTTTACCCTCCAAATTAAGTCCTCAAGTTTCACAGCAAAACATCATATTTATCTAGCTGATCAGTTTTCCATTCTGTAAAATGTTAGTTTCTTCTGCTACTTCCAGATTTATAAATGCACATAGAAACCTCTTCATGCCAATATGGAGGATAAAACATAAACACTCTCACTTAAGACTAACCATGTTATACCATCATGGTACTAACCTCTGTCCTTAAATTCCACAACACGTGTGTGTGTGTGTGTGTGTGTGTGTGTGTGTGAGTGAGTGAGTGTGTGCCTGTTCACATTCTGGGTCCTGTATTCGGAGGCTGAATTAGTTAAGTCAGCAGTGATTTATTCAGTGTTCAGTGAGGTAAACCCACTAAACTGGTCATCAGTGGCTACGTATAGAATACCCTGGCAGCTGCAGGAAGTACGAAAAGCAGTAAGGGATATAACTGTGAGCTCATTTATTTCCAATTAGGCCTGCTGCTGAGACACCTTATCTGTGAAAACTCTGGGAGCAGATGAAAAATATCAAGGCAGGAAAACTTGAGAAATAATGAAACTCCTAACCGGAACTTTAAAAGTTACTTTAGGATGAAGATATTTTAAAATTTAAAGGTAATTTTAAATATATCTAAGGATGTTTACTCTCAAAAGAAGTATGTAGAAAAATGAGGAACAGACTAACGGCAAATCCAGCATTTGATCATGGTGTCCTTACAAGTGAATCTGGTAATCAGACACGCCACTGTGAAGACATAATTATTATTCTAAAATATAATAAGTTCAGCATTATGCCATGCTTTATTCAAAACTATCTTCATACCTTCCAGGGAGTTGAGTGAAGCCCTTTCTCCGACTTTCTAACTGTAATTTTCAGTTAGATGCATTTCCGGCTGTCTTCACACACAAATCACATAGATTAACTGTGAGAAATGTCATAAATTTAGAGTTGGTTCGTAGAGTAAAAAGTCATGACTTATCCCTTTATTCACTGTAAATCATGAAATCAGAAGTTACCCAGCAGAGAGAATCTC